TGATGCTAGTCACAGTGGAAACGTAGACTTGTATGAATTCACCACTTCCTGCTTGGCATGCCACTGTGCACTCTGTTGGTGGGATTTATGAACTGCTACCAAGAGCAGGGTTGGTTTTCAGACATGCTGATTACAGACGCCCCCGAAGAGGTATATACGCAATACTGCTCCCCGTTCAATGGGGAAACATAGTTGACAGAGCAATAAAAAACAGCAAAACGATTAAGAAAAATTAATAAATAAAAAAAATCAACTGATGAATGGCCTGCGGTCTTTGAACAAGCACAGTGGACTGAGCACTGACTTTGAAGTGACCATCTCAGAAAAACAGATGGAAAGACACTTAGCGTTTTAACACAAAGCACCAAGTGATGTCATACAGCCACACGTCCTCCCCTGATTTCTCCAAGTACTGACTCACATCAGCAGCCACAGAAGAAAACACAATCGTGCAAACTGCAAAGAATGCATTCACTGCATTCTGAGCCAGTTAGCACTTATTTCAGTTCAATTTGCTTCTGTTTTTCCCCTTTTCCTCCCGTCATGGTCAGGGAACTGCCTCCGTTATCAGGCGAGGCAGCAGTAGCCAACCTCAGAACATCAAGGAGACCACTAGGGCTATTTTGAGATCCTTGAAGGCCACATTGTGATCAAACTCATACATGCTGGAACAAGACTGATACGTTATAAAAGCACCACCATGCCAAGTCGTACTTGTGGGATCGTGGTGAAACTGCTGAGATGTGGGAACAAAGTATAAGCTGGCAGTACATGTTTAAGAGTAAATAAAGTGTGTCTAGTCATGCACCATCAATGTTGAGGGCTATTATATAACGTGAACAGCCAGTAAGTTTTAAAACAAGGCAGGCACTTTATTATTACCAGCATTTGTCAGGTAGAGGTTCTCAGCCTCAAGCTGAGAAGTCAAAGGTATTTCAATAGCCAGAAAACCATTTAAAGGACAAATTTGCTTTTTTGCATGAAAAACAGAACTCTTTACTTTTGCCTTCTACGATTTTAGCGACTTGCGTTAGCTGCCTAGCTTTACATTTATTCAATGGTCAAGAAAAGCAAGCAGCCTTACAAGTTTTTATTGGTGACCATTTTCAGAACTGTGTTTACACAGAATCAGGAAAGTAATCTCCAGAACGCAAACGAACATGGCCTCTCTCTACAGACCACCTTGTCCACGTTTAGGGGGAAAGCACGTTGCTCTCAGTCCATATGCCGGATGTGACCTTTTGTCCAAGCGCAAATGCCACACATTTCACTCAAGATGCAAAACAATGGGTTGGGTGGAGAGCGCATGTATTGATCCGGTCATTTAGTCACATTTCAAAGCACCAGTCTATATTTATCATTTGGAACCAATAAAGACAACCCGTGGGCAGCCTCTGGACAGGAAGTCGCTATCGTTCAGGATGTATCTGTGTAAATTCTAACCTATGGGACCCATCGATCCACTTCCTGAGTAAACAGGTGTGATAGGAACGGTGGAGTAAACTGAGCTTAAACCCAGCACTACTGTATGAAAGGACCATTGAACACCAAATGGCAGGGCAGTAAACTAGAGGAATCAAACATTAATTAATCAGACACAGATTCTCACAATTTAAGGGAATCCATGCAACGTGCCCAACAAGCATCTGACCCAACCAAATACCTGTCTATGGACATGACAGAAGTGGGAACAGAAAGTCTGTGAGAGCTTAAAAGTGATCTCTGTCATCAACTTAAGTTGCTGAGGGAACATTCACAAAATGAACTGAGGTAGTTGTTGGAGGTTGTTGCTTGGTATATGAAAGTAGTGGAGGGATGTAAATGATCAATTTATTAAACGTACACAGCGCCCATAAGTGTGCATATATCATAAAAGCTCTGAACCCAGCTCAGCCAATCAGCTTTTAGATCTAAAAGTTTCTGTTTTATAATTGATATTTGGATGGGTCGCATCCTTTTTTGGGCTCGTCGGTTAACAATTAATTGTTATAGGTTAAAAAAATTTGCAACTCATTCTAACACTCTAAAACAGTAACACTAGCAGTCTAAAACATGAGGCAGCAGCGTTATTCACCTCTTCCCTCTGTTAGAAACGCACACTGATACTGCTCATCTAACTTCACTCACTGTCGATATCTAAATTATGCCTGGAATGAATTTTTATAAAAGGATGTGTAGCTGGGTAATCACTGGCATGATAAAGCATGCCAGCCTCTAAAAACGAGGAGGGAATTTCCATCCATCCATCCAGTTAAACAGTCACACAACTGAGCTCACCTACTAAAACAGGTAAGGTGTTGGCAGCACTCATTAAAAAGAGAAAGAAAACAAACTCACAAAACACTTGAATCAAAAACAGAAGCATGTTGATAACACGAATACACTAATAAAACACAAAACACAGGATCCAAATGAGTTTTTCCTCTCAGATGTCTGCTGCAACCATTTATTCATTTAAATTTTATTAGCAACAAAACCGTTAAAAAGTCCTAAACATTCCCATCCAGAAGCACCACATGCACCAGGCCATCATTACAGGGTTGCCATGACAAAGTTTGGCTATGTTTTCCTCGTCAGAATAATTACCAAACAAAGGCAGTAACTTAATTATACTATGATGACTGGGGTTAGGCTGAGCCTACTGAGATAAGCAACCTCTTCATAACATGACTGAATCATCACAGGTATAGACAATGTTTCACAGATCTGGTCTTGCTTTCTGATGTTGTGCAATCTCTATATTAGAAAGCAGACAATGACGAACACATAGCAACACCATAAAACCTAAAAAAAAAGTAAGCAGTGCTGCCAATATGATGTCAACGTACATCAGTGTACCAAGCTGGGAGAGTTTTGGTTTTTTTCAAAACTCAACTACCAATGCAGTTCCACACTTTCCTCTGCTTCACCACAGAAAGGCCTCAGGCCTGATGAACGGTCGATAAGCGTGTCCAAATAAAAAACGCACAAAGCCAAAGAGTTTACAAGTATAGGCTGGAGACGGTACCAAAGGTTGAGACCTAAAACGAGTACAATCAGTGAGATAAAGGAGAATCTACATTATCTATCAAACCTGATCCTGCTCTGCACATTTTAGTGCTACAGACATTCTTTTGTGTTGCAACATGACATGAGAAAAACTTCAGAACTGAAGATAAAGAAACTGGGGTTAGTAGAAAAAACCCCCCACAAACCCACTAAAATTAGTGAAACTTGTGGCACCTTCATCTCTCTGGGTTGGTGCTGGAAAAGTATAGTAAACCTAGCAAAAAGGGTTCTATATAGGCCCAAAAAAGGTTCTTTGACTTCTAACAGTAGTGGAACTATTTAACAGTTCTTTAAAGAACGATTCACCGCAGATTTTCTACCATACAGAAGAACCATCTAACCAAGCAAAGAGCTGTTTCTTTGAGTCATTGTGCTCCCATAACAAACGTGCATCCTTTGAAAAAGAACCTCAGAAGAACCCCTTTTTTTTGAGGGGGGGGGGTTATACCAACTGCCCACCTGGGAACCTAACGAGCTTTTTTCAAAACACTTACTTCCAGGATATATGACTTAAAAACGTGGTTTAATTCGCATAAGCATTGCATAACTTACCAGGAGCTTCTCTGCTTATCTGGGGCTTTCAAAGCATGGAGCTGCTAATGAATGAGGCTATGAGGCTAATGAATGAACCAGCTTTGGCAACAAGTGCATTTGAAAGAAGCCAAGTTAACAAACAAGCCTACAAAACTAAAATAAACACTCTTAAATATGATTCTTCAAAAGTTTTTTTAGTAAAAGGAAATGGTTCTATTTAGAACCATGAGTTCCATTTTAAGCTTAAACAGTTCTTTGCATGGTAAAATCTTCAGATTGATGGAGAATGCGTTGTATATGATTCTACATAGAACAAAAAGGGTTCTTCTATTGTTACAATGTCAAGCCTCGCTCAGGTCGAGCTGCAGGTCAGCTATCCGCTTGTTCACGCACTTCAGGTGCTCGTTGCACCAGCAAGTGAACGTGTTCTTTTTGTGCTGTGTAGAACCAAAGAACCATTTAAGAACCACTTAAGCATCTTGAGATTGATAGAGAATTTGTTTTATATGGTTCTATATAGCACAAAAAGGGTTCTCTAACTGTTACAATGTGAATCCTGTAACTATACAAGATCCCTTTTGTGCTGTATAGAACCAAAGAACCATTTAAGACTCATTTAAGAACCATTTAAGCATGAAGTGGTTCTCTGCACGGTTTAATGGAACTTCAGATTGATGGACAATGTGTTGCATGTGGTTCTATACAGCACAAAAAAGGTTCTTCTATTGTTACAATGTCAAGCCTGAAACAATACAAGAACCCTTTTTGTTCTATACAGAACCAAAGAACTTTTTTTAAGAACCATTTAAGCATGAAATGGTTCTTTGCATGGTGAAACGGACCTTCAGTTTGATGGAGAATGTGTTAAATATGGTTCTATATAGCACAAACAGGGTTCTATTGTCACAATGTCCGTAACAACAGAAGTATCCTTTTGTGCTATATAAAAAAACGCATGAAAGCATGAAATGGTTCTATACAGAACCCATGGTTCTAAATAGAATTATTCCCTTTACTAAAGAACCATTAAACCCTTTTCTTTGAGAGTGCATATGCAGAGCTCCACCTTCTCTGAAAGGAAGAAAAGCTTATTTCGATATTTTAGGTGGTCCTAAATATCAAAAAGACACACGAGGAACTTGGTGGGCATCTAAGGTGGGGGAATGTCACGTGACAACACTGAAACGGGTCAGGATAGCCTACCTGTGGAAACGAGGCTAAGGAGACAGGTGCATTTGAAGCACACAGGCTACATGTTAACTCAGGTTTTACCGACAAATTCGTCGAGTTTTCTCTTCTGAGGGGAAAAAAACGTTTAACTGGACATTTTGAGTCGCTCTAAATATGAAAACTGTATAAACGGGACTCTGTGGAGGGAAATATCAGGTGACCAACAGAACTGTGTCAGACCAGCCTACCTATGGAAACCAGGCGAATGTTCTCTCGGTCCAAAAACTCCAGAGCCACCGAGACGTTCTCCAGCTTCATCTGTCGAAAGGTGGGCCGCGGGTGGTACTTTCTGTACATTTTCTTCTGGCTCAGGACCTCCAGCAGGGCTATGAGCCGGAGGCCATCGCTCAGGTCGAGCTGCAGGTCAGCTATCCGCTTGTTCACGCACTTCAGGTGCTCGTTGCACCAGCGAGTGAATGTGTTCTGCTGGATTTTCTTCCATGGAGCGTCGTCGGCCAGGTCTTTCTCTGTGGCTGGCATTTTCGCTGTCGGAAAACTCTCTAAAGTCTCTCTTCGGGTTACCTTTCTCTCTTTCTCTCCTTCTCTTTCTGAAGCCGTGCGCGTTCGCCCGCTTCCCTCAGGAGCTTGTGAGCTGCGCTCTCTCCTGCACGCCACAGTCTTTTGCAGCCTTGAGCGTCCGCGCGTGCGCGGTGCTGATCAGCCAGACGCCCACTTTTCGCTGTTCGGTTGCTGAGGAATGGGAAGCTGTGTCAAACCCAAGTTTATTGATTGGACCAGTAAAGATGTTGCAGGAAAAAACTGCTGTATAACCTAGTAGGAATGAGTTCTTATGGCTGTAATTAATTCATGTTCATTTTCAATTTTGTACTGGTATTAACTGAAATGTAAAAGACCCGTTTCCATTTACCTTATGAGTTATTTTTCTCCCCTGAGGTCCACTTTCATTTTATATGACCATTTTCAAATGTTCTTCAGAATGAAACAGGCTGTGTTTGTTACTGATTTTATATATGTGTACATATATATGTGTATATATATATATATATATATATATATATATATATATATATATATATAGATATATATATATATATATATCTGACTTACATTTAAAGTAAAGTAGGTTTTTTTCTTCTCCTGTAAAGTTACCATTTTGTACATATATACAGGGTGTCCCAAAAATTGACATAATTTCGTAGTCTAATAACAAGTTTAATTTATAATGTTTTTTTTTTCAGGTTGAAGAATGACGTTCACTAGAAATGAAAAGCCATTTTGTTTGTTAGAATATGCTCGAACACAGTCAAACAAGAGCGTGCAGCATTCATTTTCTAGAAAAGTCTCTAAAAATGCACAAAAAGGCACAAAAAAATCAAAGAGGACGGCTGTCTGTGCAGGGTGAAGGGATCTGGACGACCACCAGTATCGGAAGATATTACAATTGTAAAGCTTTGTGAAATCGGTTATAAAATCTACATCTCTCTGAATTTCTTGTTCGAATTTTGATAAATAAATCTTGTATTGTTCACCATGAGGCCTATTTAATTTTGTTTGCCTACGACATGTAGTTACTCAGATAATCACATCTCAAATATATATATATATATATATATATATATATATATATGTATTTAGTGCCATTGGTGGTGTAGAAGAACCAGAGGATGCTATTATTTCTCCTCAAGGAATTGAAACGTGGAGCAAGTGGCAGATGCCACAACAAATATAATACACATTTCCTCTGTTCTGATTGGCTGTCCTGTATGTCCTCATTCAAAGCTGAAATACTCTTTATAACTTCATTGCAAAGCTGAGCTAACAGGGTGAATATGTATAAATGCACTGGTTTTCCTGACATTACAAAAGCGACAAATTCAAAACAGGCCGTTTTATGAAGACTATACAGACTGGGAAGTGCATGATACGTAACAGTATTTACATATTACAGAAGAGCAGTCCCTGCTAGGCTACCTCAGCTGACAGGGATTTCAATTAGCTCTCCTTGGTAATATAAATGAGAATCCTAATATTCAGTAAACAACTATTCCATCATTTCAATAGATTTCTTTCTGGATGTTTCCAGCAGTGTACAGTTAGGACATGATCAGCGTTAGTCACTTGGGCGGATCAGCATTGCATCACAGCTTCATGCAAACAAGGGGAAAGGCGTCCACACCACGCCTACTCTGATACAACAGCTGTTTGCTGAGCTTTGTTGCAATGTTTGAAAAGAAACAGGTTCATACAAGGCCCACTTCTTTCTCCTTTTAAAGGAAAAAACATGAGGAAAAAAAGCCCAGAGTGTAGAGCTTTAGTCACTGTAATAGCCCATTACCTTCCAAACACCACTTGTCATGAAATGTTACACACCTTCACCTCTCAAATAACTCAGCAGTTTGGTCACATTCACAGGCTTTGAGAACATCTGACATTTGGGACACTGTCATTCAACACAGCACTGGTGACACATTAGTTGGCTCAGTGAGGTAGTAATGAATGGGCCAAAAGGATTTGATCATTGCGTCCCTCCTCTTTGCAGTTTGTCTCAACCACAGATTATCCCCTCAGGGTGCTCACTAAGTGCCCCCCCCCCCAAGGCCCTGTCTGTCTGGGCTTATCTTCCACTGAGTCATTTAAGGACCTGGGCCAACTTCCTCCAGGGCTGGAACACACTGCCACAAGAAATCTACACAGTCAGACAATTAGCTACTGCTGATTTCCCCCCACCGCTGATGAATTAGAGATGCTGTATGGTAAGTATTCGGACAGCGACAGATCTTTTGGCTCTGTATGTCCAATTAACTTCAGATAAAACAATAGCTTTAACTCAACAGCATGTCCCTGTTGAGTGAAATGTGAAGTTTGAGTCCTTATACGGACCTCAGCAGTGGTGTCACTACTGTGGGGAGGGCGGTTGCACTGAGGCCGAGCCCTCTCAAATGTTTAATATACTAAAATGTTTAATATAGATGCTGACAAAATTACACTACATAGGCCAAGCTGATGTCTGTTTATCTCCCCCTTATTCATAATAAATCATATCCATGTTAACTGTTTCCACATGGATTCTTCACAACTTGCAACATGATATATTCATTATTTATAACTGTAAAATCTTAAAAAGGTAATCTAATGTACACATTTAGGTTCACATTAGATGGACGTGGGTGGAGTGGCATGCCTTGATCGGCATCAACTTGATTTATACATAACAATATGTACAATGAACAAGCAAATTATGCTAAAATTGCAATTAGAAGTAATTTTATATGGGGGGGGCATAACATCCTAGTTATGTCACTAATCCTCACAGTTTTAGGGGATCAAAAGTTTGCAGACAATTGGCGGTTTGGTTGCTATAGGTTTTAAATCAAGCAAAAAGTATTGAGAACTGGTCTATTGGGGGGATGTAAATAAACGGTGGCAAAACAAAAACAACAAAATAAGCTTTTTAAAATAGATAAACTTAACTAAAACTTTTATAACTAGTTATAACATTTGTGTCTTGCCAGCAGCCATGACAGAAGGCCCATTAATCCTTTAAAAACTGATTACTGGAGAACATTAGATGTGGCCAGGAGAACAGAATCATGCAGAGGGTGGTTTGGCATCGTCTTGCTGAACTGCGCAAGGCCTTTCCTGAGAAAGTTTGGACGGCAGCTTATGTTGCTCCAAAACCTGTATATGTTGTTCAACATTAATGATACCTTCACAGATGTGCAAGTCACCCGTGCCATGTGCATTAACACACCCCCCACCATGATGGTTACTGATGTTTGAACTATGCTCTGATAAGATGGATGGTCCCTCTTGTCTTCAGCCCGTAGGATGCGGTATCCATCATTTCCAAAGAGAATTTCAAATTTTGATTTGTTGTACCATGCGACACTTTCACAATCAGTCCATTTTAAATGATCTCAGGCCCAGAGAAGGCGGTGGCGTTTCTGGATCTTATTTAAATATGGCTTCTTCTTTGCATTAAAGAATGTTAACTTGCGTTTGTGGCAAACTGTGCAGCATAATCTATGTTCTCAGACCATGATTTCTAGTACAGAATCTTGCCTTCTCTTAAAGCAGTGCTGCCTGAAGGCCCAAAGATCACGGTCATCCAATATTGGTTTTCAGCCATGTCCCTTGTACACAGAGATTTCTCTGATTTCTCAGCAACTGTTAATTATAATATTACCATAGATGATGAAATCTGAGTTTTTTGATATTTTACATTGAGAAACATTATTCTTGAATTGTTGTACTATTTGCCCACTTTTACAGAGTGGTGAACACTTGAGGGACTCAGCCTATGTGCAATGCCCTTCTTATACCCAGTCATGTTACTGACCTGTTGCCAGTTTAGTTGTGAGAGGTTCTACCAGGTTTTTTTTTTGTATCACACAACTTTACCAGTCTTTCGTTGCCCCATCCCAATTTTTCTAAAATGTGTTGCTGGCATCAAATTCAAAATGGGCATATAATTTTTTAAAAACTATTAAATTTCACCATTTGATTTGTTTTCATACTGTTTTTAATTATATGTAGGGTTTAAATGCTTTGCACATCACTGCATTCTGTATTTATTTACATTTTGCAGTGTCCTTTTTTGGAAACTGGTTGTAATTGGACAATTGGTTTCTCAGTTGTTTTTGTCCAGCTCTGTCTCATCACATTCTTAGCTCATACCCAGGAGAGCTAACAAATGGTCTGGAGTTGATTCTAAACGGCATTTGCACCTGGAGTCTGTTGTTGTTGTTGTCTCTCCACATGAGTAGTAAGTAAAGCAGAACATCCTGAGGCTGATAAGTCAGAATAAACCAATCACAGACATAACCAAAACATTAGTGGTTGGTTTCCCGGACAGAGATTAAGCTTAATCCTGGACTACAAAGCATTCTGAATGGAGATTCTCAATTGGAAGGTAAACATAGTCCAGCGCTTGGCTTAAACCCTGTCTGGAAAACCAACTCCAGGAGTATCAAAATAAAATTGTTTGTACAGTGTTGATAAGTAAGATTTCATTGGTGAACTTAGTGATATCAAACAACCTGGCAGACCTCTGAAGATAGCAGTAGTGGATTATTCAGGGATAATTTAAATTCTGAAGACAAACACCTTCAGTTCAAAACACAAACCCAGATGTGTCAAAGACTGTAATAAAGAGAAGGACACGCAAACATGATCTTAAAGGGTTTACAAGAAGATACTACCCGAAAACTACTAGAAAGTCTTAGGAACAGACTAGAGTTGAAAACATATGCTGAAAACATGTACAAAGAATCTTGGACAAAATGTTAGACAGATGAAACACAGATCAACCAGTAGCAGAGTAATGGTAAGAGTAAAGTGCGGAGTCTGCTCCTGATTCCAATTGGTGAAACATGGTGGTGGCAGTGTTGACTGTCAGTGATAAAGACTCAGTGGACTTTATTAATGCTTATTGAAGATAAGACATACAAAGGGGATACATTATAGGCCAAGGATGATCCTCTATATCTGATGACATCTATAGCTCACACTTTAGCCAGACATTGATTGTTAAAGATTTGTTAGAGTACCAAGCATGACTTTTCTGACACCTTGGCATGAGAGAGTATGTTCAAGGGGCTGAGATTTCTATAGTTAACCCAATACTGATGTAACCTTGAATAAAAGCATAAATCCTGCACTTTTACA